AAACTCCCTTCATCCCTATGTATATTTCCTGTGGCAACATTCCCTCAGTCATCAAGCCTTCCCCTTCCCCTTCCCCTTCCCCTTCCCCTTCCCCTTCCCCTTCTCAACCCCTCATTCCGCGGATGGAGAGGGCTTTTGCACATTTACCCAAAACTTCGCTTCACCTGTTGTACAGTTTATGATTTGGCTGAGGAGCATCGGTGGCTGGTCTGGAGCTTCAACATCTTGTAATATAGGATCATTCCGACGACATATTCGTCTATTTATATATACACATCTAATTCCGCAGACGACGTCTGTATGTATCGGCATATATTGTTTTTCTATGTGTGAAAGAATGGCAAAGAGTTAGCATAGTACGCAGAAAGGGATATCTTGAGTGATAAGTAAATAGTAGGTATGGAAGATCGAATCCACCGAGGCGGAACAACCGTTCCGCCGACATTCCGGCAGAATTTCCCAAAGCAGCACTACGTCAAAAGCTTCAGATCGACTTGTCAATTCTTTAACATTTCAGCAATATAAGCCTGGCGCGACCGAAAGACTGCTCGGCTCAGCAGGTCATACAGGGCTTCTCAGCTTAAGCTCGCTCAACCTTCTTTGCGACAAAATCTTGCTGCTCAGTCATCCAAGCAAGAAGCCATCCATTTCCCAGCACTTTAGTCCTTGATCTCGAGTTTCCTCGAAGGGCTGTCGATAGCTGCGGAGACTGCCTGTACCTCTACCTCAACCGCACTTATCTAATATTACCCTTCGATTCACACGCCCTCGTCTTTTCGTTCTCCAAACAAGCCAACCGAGAAAATGTCAACCCAACGACAAGCCACCTCCGCCTCGCAAACCCCGCACATCTCCCCCGCCGAACTCTCCTACCTCTACACCTCGCTCAGTCTCCCCCAGAACCCCATCCGACCCGATGGCCGCTCGGCGACGCAATTCCGGCCGCTGACCGCCGAGACCGATCTGCTGCCCGGCACGAACGGCAGCGCGCGCGTCGGGTTCGCGGACGGGACGCAGGCGATCGTCGGCGTGAAGGCCGAGGTGGAGCGGACGGTGGTGGGTGCTGCGGCCAGTTACACTCTTGCAGAGGCCGAAGGCGCGGGGGATCTTGATGGGGAGGGTGGGGAGGGGTCGGGTTCTGCCGCTGGGGCTGGGGCTGCTACGGCCGGTCATGGGTCGTGGGTGCAGATGAGTATTGAGATCCCCGGGTTTCGGGACGACGATGCCCTGCCGGTGTTTCTGGCGGAGATGATGCGGGAGCCGTTGGTTGAGAGTGTTTCTTCGGGGGGAAAGGGTGGTAACGGTCGTGAGGAAGGGGAGATGGAGGGCGGTTTGAAGGGGCGGTTGGTGATTAATCGGAGGTGGCATTGGCGGTTGTATATTGATGTAAGAGATTACGTCCCCATTTTTTGATTCTGCTGGATTGGAGTCCAGTTCAATTGCTAACTAACAACGCATGAAACAGGTATTACTGCTGTCGCAACCACTCTCCTACCCCCTCCCCCTCTTGTCCCTGACGACACATCTGGCACTTCTGGCGACGAAACTCCCCAAGTTGAAATCCAAGGGCGAGGAGGATCCCTTCTTCGACGATGACTGGAATGCGGCCGAGTATTTGTACCCCAGAGCTTCTTCGTTCCCCAAGTTCGGCGGTGGCACGGCGACGGGCGATGTTCCGCCTCCCGTGCAGCATGTCCGGCCGCCGGTGACCCTCTTGGTGATCGCCGTGGGCGACAATGTCATCTTCGATCCGAACCGCGAGGAGATCGCCGTCGCCGATACCGTGCTGGCCATCTCGGTGACGCGCGATGGTGGTGCCGAGGGCGGCCTGAAGTTGTTGTCGATCCGGACGATCGATCCCCCCTCGCGGCTGACGCAGCCTGGGGTGCCGAATTCCGAGAATGTGGCGACGCTGGGGGCTACGGCTGGTGCTGCTGGCTCGGAGGAGCAGTCGGCGGCGGTTCTGAATCCGGTGACGGGCGAGGAGGAGGTTCCTGGCGTGTGGAGGCCTCGTCGCGGCGGGGTGAAGAGGCGGACGGTGGCTAAGATGGTCAAGTTGGTGCTGGAGAAGGGCGGGGTTGGTGAGGAGGTTCTGGAGGGTTTGGAGAGTGTGGAGGTTGGTTGAGCGGTTCAGGAGGGCTTGGATGGGGCTTGTCGCTCCGGGTGGCTAAAATGTCCTCCCACATGGCAGACACATCTCCTGGGCTTGTTTGCGAGGAAAGGGAAGCGCATATCCACCCGCAAGAGCGTGATCCTCGACCACAGCGATGACTCGCCCGATGCTTAGCCCCCGGTAGACACGAGCACAACCCGCCGAGGAGGATAGAAAGCTAGTAGTATTGTACATAGACCTAAGATATGCTAAAAATCTTCCCCAACTACATCCCTCATCTTACACACTGCAATCCCTCTCTACCTCCGCAATTGCACCGGATGGATCGATCCGACAACAGCCTACCAAATACCCAACCACTTCTTCACGGGCCTCTTCTTCCCCTCCCAATCGACATACGTGCCGTCGCCGGCCACCTCCTCCCGAGCAATAGGCGACTGATCATCCACCGCCTCCGCGGGAGCAGCCGCCGCAGCCGCAGCATCAGCACCCTCCGCCGTCTCAGACGCCTCCTCCAACCCATGCGCAATCCGATACTGCCGGCGCTTCTCGGCGTCCTCGACGCGCTGCCGGCGCTTCTCGCGCGTCTGCTGCGACGAATGCTCGACATGCATCCGGAACACCGCGAGCGCCTGGCCCACCGTGTCGAACGGATGCGACAGCAACCCCGACCACGAGGGGAGCAGGTGCGCGAACGGCGACGACCGCTTGAAGTTCGTGGTGAATGTGAACGTGGCCAGGGAAGTGAGGACACCCTATCCGTAGCAGCCGTGGTTAGCATTTACTAAGGTATCTCCTCCTCAACTGTGCAGTATACACTTCACCCCTCCTCCTCCTCCCAACTCCCCTCCACCCACAGCCCCCCGGGAATACACAACATGCGGTAGATAAAGCTCACCATAGCAATCCAAACATGAATCCCCCGATTCGTCAGGAACTTATGCGCCACCGTCCCCTCGGGCGGGAACATGTTGGGGTACTGTTTCTGCCGCTGGGCCGCCTTCTCGGCCTCCGTCAGGCGCGGGCCGTAGTGCACCGGGTCGGCGTTCACGACGCGCCCGTTGCTGGTGCGCACCACGCGCCGCTGCGGGTGCGACGGCGGCCGGAATCGGTCCGGTTGCGGGAGCACGATCGGTTTGTCTTTGGTTTTCGAAGAGGTGGATTTGCTCGAGGCGCAGCGGCGGGTTGTTACGGTGGTGCGGGTGGTGAGGGCTTGTTGGAGGGTTCGAGGGGTGGGGATGCCTCGTGGGAGGAGGAAGCGCGGGATTCGGATTGTCGTTGTTGGTTGCATCTTTTTTTGAGGGGTTGGGGGTTGAGAGTTGGGGGAGAGGGTTGGAGGGTGGTAGGTTTGTGGATGTAGTGCCAGCTGACCTCGAGGTTGATTGATATGCCTGATACGGGCAATTTTCTTGACCGGGAAGGTGGTGGTGGTGGTGCCGGGCGGTGTGGGCTTGGGCTTGTGAGCTTGTCACGTGAGATGGCGGATAGTCGCGATACTACGGCGAAGTTACTAGGTTGGGGTTTGTTTTTTGGGCCAAGCTTCTTGAAGGCTGGTCTGAGGAAAATATGTCAAGCATAATGCACTGCGATATTCGAGGGCGCAGTGTGTGTCTTATATAGCTACGTACATTGCACTGCGCAAGTCATTGAATGGCATGGACATCGTCCCGGCGCATCGCATGTTTACTTGACCGGGCGGCGATTGTTGCTACGTACAGTATCGTACCTACAGTATGCGACGGAGCGGAACAACGTAAACCCAGCGCCAAGTCGGTCAGACTCGGAGGACGAATGACCGTCCAGGGATTTGCAAATGCTGCTCCGTACCCCCGAATCTGCCCCGGGCTCTGGTCACCCAAAAGCAAAGGCGATGGCAAAAATGATGTAGTGCTTTCACCATTCTCATCTCATCCCCTATCGCCCTCAGAGTTCCATTGTTCAGTCTCGTCCTGAACCATTCTTTGGTGATTCTACACCGATCGAATTCAACCGATTGGTTGCGGGATCCCGAAGGCACGGCAGGCAGAGTCAGCAGGAATGAGCGTAGAATGAGATCATACCTCATGAGTTACCTCCCAGGTAGGGGTCGAGAACACCTGGAGAGAGAGAGAGAGAGAGAGGTTGTATAGTAAATCAATTAAGAAACACTAGTCTAGACAGCATAACAATCAATAGACCTCAGGCCAATTCATTGACTCGGGACTCCCATTCTAATTTAGGCTGGTAACTCGAGGTAACTGTGCCTGGTGATCTCATCTTTTCATCCATGATCCAAAAAATCACACCGGCATCTGGTCCCGGATGCGCCCGTTGCGCTGAATCATCGCGGCGCTGATTGGCGGAGGCCCGGATCACGGGAAAAGGGCTGTTGGGGCCGCTCTTCCCAGTAAGTACAAATTGCAATCGCAAGTTTTTCTGTCCTCCCCTTCTGCTTTCCCTTCTTCCCCCGGAATCTCCTCCGCTCAATCCAATTCCTCTGTACTTTACCTTCTTTACCTTTCTTTTTTAATACCCTTCACATCTCCCCTTCACCACATTCAAAATGGGCAAGGACGCTGGTTTCGCTCCTGGTAAGCATTCCACTTGGAATTTCCCTGATCTCCCCGGTGTCACCGATCATGCACTGGTCGCCTCGAAGACTCGGCTTGAACACAATGTCTTCGGGCCTGCCGGATGCATGGGCCAGGTGTTGGGTGGTGGTGTCTGGTCTCGATGTGTTATGATCATGGGTTCTTTGTCGGTTCTGTCGCCTTGACAATTTGTCGCTGCTTTGCCTCTTTGACTGCAATTGCAAGGCCCATGAACCAGACCACAAGATCTCAAGACCAGCGAAAGACTCAGGACCATGACGAGCTTCGACACCTACTGTTTCCTCACTACAATTCACATGCGCGAGGCCGAGCTGGAGGCCTGCGAAAAGCCCCAGCAATCGGCAACACAAATGCCCATCCAGACTGCGGCTAACATCTCCGGTTTTTCAGGTGACTCTGCCAAGGGTGCCAAGCTCTTCCAGGTGAGTTGATGTCTTCTTCTGCATCCATTTCATGGACTCGGTGGCTAACTCTGCATTTTCCAGACTCGCTGCGCTCAGTGCCACACCGTCGAGGCCGGTGGTCCCCACAAGGTCGGCCCCAACCTCCACGGTCTCTTCGGCCGTAAGACCGGTTCCTCCGACGGCTACGCCTACACCGACGCCAACAAGCAGGCCGACGTCACCTGGGATGAGAGCACTCTCGTAAGCCCACCCTCGCGACCCGCGCACCAATCGTGATCAACTTGACTAACATGCTTCCTTCCAGTACCCCTACCTCGAGAACCCCAAGAAGTACATCCCCGGTACCAAGATGGCCTTCGGTGGTCTCAAGAAGGCCAAGGAGCGCAACGACCTCATCACGTACGTTCCTTCCTGCGATCGGTTTAGGCACCGTCAGCTAACGGATGTGTTTCCTACAGTTACCTCAAGGAGGCCACCGCTTAGATGTCTTCACCTATGTGAAACCTTCTAGACCCCGACCGGGACGTACGGGTCTGCCTCGACTCTGCGTGCTGGAAACAGCTGGTCACTCGGTCGTCTCTGCGGCTTGGTCGGGTCATGTAACATTACCCTTTGATTACATGCGATAGACTTTGGAATCGTTGTGCGATGGAAGAAAAAAGAGGATGCTATAGAGCCTTTTGCCTCCTTCGCGACCGCTGTCTACTACACATATTCCCGATTGACGTTTTGTTTATTTTTTTTTTCATTTGTGACCAACGAATGCCCTGCTCTGTGTATGATGGTATCAATATTTTTTTTTTCTGTGAGACTATAATGAAAAAAGATCTCCTCTCATGACGCCATGCGCGCCGAAAGTGACCTCTAGGTGCGTCTGTGCTTTTTCCCGTTGCAGTAAATTGATGCGTTGGCCGAGTCTGGCGTTTCAGGATGATCAGAATCACGTGTACCGGTGGGTTGGCGGTCGGCGGTCGGGCAACCGCCAGGCTTCAAGGTTCCCTGATTTTCCCGCCGTTGCTGGCCGAGAGAGAGAGGGTGGGTGAGAGACGTGAATCCATCAATCATCGACGGCTGCTGAGACAAGTCTCGACTGCAACGGCAATCTGGCGGATGATCCTTGCATCGTTGGAGAAGCATCTCGGCCACATGATTGGACCAGTTGTCCTGCTACAGCCTGCTACAGCCTGCTACCGCCATGACCAACTTGGTGCTTAGTTGGTGCACTTCCTCAGACAAACAGTCTATCTTTGCGCATTCAAAGTGCAGGCAAGCCATGATGCGAGTGCTACCTCTCCCCGTTCGGAACCATGGGATTTTCATCTGGTCGAAGATGTGAGATAATCTGGGGACTGATATACAGTACAGTACGGAGTACGGTATGTACCACTGATCGGAACCCAGGGATGACCACGAATGACGCGAATCGGAAGATGTGACCGAGCACGATGGCGTGGCAGTAAGCACGACCGGACGTGTCGAAGCTGCTGAGAGTTCATCCGTACTGTACATCGGGAGTATCAGGCTTCTTTCTCCCCCTCCTCGCTCTGCAGCACTTCAGCCACAGCGTCCCTTTGCCCCTCCCCACTTTGAGAGTTTCTTCGCTGACTATCGCTATCGATAAACCCCCCCGTTCACAATCGATAGGGATGTATTCTTGGTTCAGGTCCTTCCGCCCTTCTTTGTTATCGCATCGATGTCCGCACGTTGTCTGCCCTTTATGCGATGGATGGAACAACGGGGGGTTCTTGAGATGCGCTCCCTACGCAACAACTTTGCGCACTTTGCGCACTCCCCTGGGCTTTCCCCCACCATCGGTTTCTACCGGCAATCAGAAGAGAAAGGACATTTTGCAAGCTCCATCGAAACTCCCTCTCCAAAGATAGTCGGTTTTAGCCCATCGCACATGACCCGGGGCTAGTCCACCACGATTGGTCCAGCCACCCCCCTCCCCTCCATTGTTTAAATACGGATTCCGAACCCCCCCCTCCGACCAGCGAGACATGCGAGGGGCGCGTATCATCTACTTGTACCTGGAAAAGAAACAGGTTACTTTACCTGCTTGCCTCGAAACCCCGTGTGTGAAATCGCATTGATATTTCTATACTTCCATCGCAATCTTATACTGCACCGACTTCGGACGGAATACTGAATACTTGCTTGCCTCAACGCACCCCATCTTATCTATCTATATAGTCTATTCAGATCGTGTATTGACTATCTTATCTGCCCTCCACTAACCGCATCCCTCCATAGCTCCTCTCCCTGTCTCACACAGGTGGCACCCTCTCTTGCGGTGCCTGTGTCTGTGGCTCTGTGTCTATAGTGGTGGTTCATGCAAGCACCTCTCACAGTTGCTTTTGACGGTGTATTGCGGAGAACCCGCTGTGACTTGTCGCATCCCATAACCGTTTCTAAACACTGACTAACTGGTTGGCCTATTGACACACGCACACACTGCCGTCTATCCTCTATAATCTGTACTTGATCCTCTGTGAGGTCTTGCGCGCGTGCGATCGCTCACCCGTCTACCCTGGTGAATCCAGTGAATGATTCAGGTCGCCCTTGTGGTCCTCAGGCACCCAGGCTAATTACTTACGTTCACTTACGGTCCTCATTTTTAACTGTCTGATCGCATTCCATTCCCTGGCCTCACCTTCACTTTATCTTTTAAACTCTGGGTAGACTTCTCTCTCCCCTCTCTTCCTTCCACTCACCTTCTCACCTTCTCACCTCCTCACCTCCTCACCTCGCTCTCACATTTCATGCCTCCCCCCACCTTCCCCATCCATCCGCGCCTAGAACACAGCTCAGATCGTATCTAAGCGCGCTTGCGACTAACCATCTGATCAAGTCTTCTTGACCTTTTCCACCATTCGCGCAGTATCCTCGTCCGCGCAGTGCGAGGTGTCGTCCAGATCGTTGGCGCGATCAAGAGGATCCTTGGCTCTCGTGGCTATTCGTTGTGAAACACCGTCCCAGATGTTAGACGAACTCGACAACAACTTCGACGACCATCCGTCTCTGGATGCGTCGCTCGAGGATTTTGAAAGCAGCAGTAACACACAGCGTTCACCCCTCTTCAGTCTCTCGTCGCAGCATTCGGGATTCCGCGAGGAGGAATCAGACCCAGATGATGAAGACCCCAATCCCAACACGGAGCGCTGGTCACCACCCGGCTTTCGCAGACACGATTACAATCCAGGAAGTGGTTGGTATCGCCACGAAGCGTATTCTCGCAGTCCGGAGAAGGAGCGCCCCGTCCTCAAGCCGACAGTTGGGGTGAGCCCGGCGCAATCGCGTGAAGGTAGCCCACAGTACGAGGATGCGGTCGAGGCCCCTGTGACAAAGGATCGCAAGCAGTCGTCCGCTATGACCGAGACCACAGCATGCGCGCCGACGGCCATGTCGCTACAGAGCCCCGAAAGGACCCAGGCACGTTCGCCAAGCAGAGCTCCGGCTGGCGGGCAAGCTGGTCAGGACATCGAGGTGGACTTCGCACCCGAGCAGGACCTTAGTAGTTGTAGGTACCACTTCGGAGCACAACTCTATCCAGCGAGCTGGTACGGAATACTGACCTGTGATTTTTTCTTTGCATGAAGATATCCGGTTCCAAGTACGCGCCGAAGTTCAGCAACGTGAACCATTGGCGGCCATATGCGGGTACCTGCGTGAGAAGTTTGATAAGATCACCAGCACTCGGACCAATACTCTCGTATCCATAGTTGTCGCCCTTTTGTCCATAGGATTGATGCGCACCTTGTTTCTCCCGAACTATCCTCAGCCAATCCCTGACTTGGTCAAGCTATCCGGGTTTGCGCGCTCCTTTGAGCCCCTGATTTACTATTCGGAACATGGCGCGCAGCAGATCGAAGCCCTGCAGGAAACCGGCGTGGCGGTCTGGGACCTGAGCGAATCAGTTCGTGGCACCAACATGACCAGCGCGCCTATCATCGTGCGCCAGCTGGATGAATTGTCCGAGTCTCTTAAGTCACTGTCTTTGGAGCTGACTCGCTTCTTCGCCAACGTCGATGCCGACTTCGACTCGATCCTGATTGTCATGGATTGGGCCAAGCGCGAACTGGAAGCGATCAATGCGCAACCGCCTAGCTCGTTGCCGACGCTCATGTTCGATAACCTGCATGAGATCCTTGCGCGGCTGGGTACCATGGAACGCCCGATTGACCCCCACGATGCTCCTCCGGGTAGTGAGCTGGCGACTACACCCACCACATTCGGGCAAGTCGTAACAGCGGTCCTTGGACAAACCTCGGCGCAACGCACGCGCGCGACGCTCACTCGGACTTTTACGGAATTCTTGGGTGTGCTTGAAGAATGTATCAACACTGAGCTGCACCATTCCACCGCGCTCTTTGGGCTCTTTGAGTCTATCGATCGCCAGTTCCTGAATCTGCAACGGACCGTCGTTCGTGAGTCGGATGCGCAAGAACGAGAGGAGGGCGAGATGCTGAGTTCCCTGTGGACCCGTGTTCTCGGACCGGATGCCTCCATTGTTCGCAAGTACGAGAAGAACAAACGGCTTCTTGCCAGCGTCCGTAGTCGGACTGTCACTAACAAGCACCTCCTGATGGACCACCGTGGACGCCTCCTCACGCTCAAGGTGAATTTGGAAACCCTGCGTCGAAAGTTGGTCAGTCCGCTGGTGCGGCGCAACGATTCGGTCCGCTTCGCAGGTGGTGTTGAGGCTAGCAATAGTCACAGCCATGGACGCATGCTCGGGCCGATCGGAGCCGTGATCGAGGGTCAAATCCGGGGCATCGACGGCAGCTACGAATACCTTCGGGGCGTACGCGACAAACAGAAAGCACGATTCATGGAGTTTGTCTTCGGCGCTGGGCGACGAATTCCGACAAACGCGATGCTAGCGGATGGGTCCGAGGGCGATGAGGTGGAAGCGCAGGCCATTGACGAGGGTGGTGATTAAGTTGACAGACAGGTTCGAGACTTGTGCTTGACTGAAAAGCATGGCCAGGCGTTTTCCATCTGTCATCATCTCGTCACTGCGTGTGTTCTTTCCATCGTCATCATCCATATCTCTACCCATTCACGCATCTATCGGAATACACGGCGTTGCATCTGATCCCTGCCGGTTAGCATTGTCTTGTCTTGCTATGCATGTGACATGGTGGGGCGTTACATCTACAGGATCGTTCATCATCTGGTTGTGGGCATGGGCATGGTTCTCAGCATCTTCTTCTCTCTGGGGTACATGGTTGCGTCTCACGACATCACGTTTTCTGCTTGTAACTATGGAGTGTACTGACCCGTTGGCGTCCATAGATTTGATTCACTGACTGGCGTTCTTTTTCAAATTGTCATCTCTCGATGTTCCGTTTTCTTCTCTTCTCTTCATGTTTCCTTTCGTCGTCGAGGGGCTTCTTCGTTTGATCTTGATTGCATTGATTCGATGATCGACGATCGATTTGATTCGGCGAATTCAAGGCGATGGGGCAATGAATGATGAGGGAGGGAAGATCTTTTCTCAAGAGATAGACAAACAGGAAATGGTGCTATCATTTGCTTTGCTTTAAGGTTATGGGGTTCCGATTGTCCTCTTCGAAGTGCTACCAGTCGTCCTCCGGTCAGGGTTTCTATTTTCTTTTTTTTTTTTTTCGATGCAGATAACATTGAAATGGATGGGGGCTTTTGTTTTGGTTGGGTATAGGCAAGGTAGTCGCTCCCCGGCCCTCGTCGCGGGTTTGACCACTCTTACTTTCTTTGTCTGGTTGGTGTATGTAGGGCGAATGGGAAGCTGGGAAGTGGTCTGGGTTGGGTGGTTGTTGTTGTTATCATGGATCATGGATGCCGGGCGTGCCTCGTCTCTTTCTTTTCTTGTTTGTGATTTCTTTGCTTTTTTCACTTTCACACAAATCTCCCATCATCCAGGCTTGCATTGTGCATTGACTCTCTTTCTTTCCTTTTTCATCCACTTCTTTCTCTGTGAATACATAGGGATGCGCCAATGGATTGCCTGATTGATTGACTTGACTTGACTTGAGATCCAACTGCTTGCTTGCTGGCTGGCGGCTGGCTAGCGTGCTTACATTCTCTCCTCTTTGTTCTCGATACGCAAGTTATATGCCGGTGAGTTGGCCAGAAAAGAAACCCTGGGTGCGTATGGGTCTGGATCTGGATCTGGATCTGGATCTGGATCTGGACATGGGTGGGCAGATCTACCAGCTCCGCCGCGGCGCGCTTGTGCTTGTGCTTGTGCTTGTGCTTGTGCTTGTTCCTCCCAAGCTAAAGATCGGTCTCTACTCGCTCTAAGCTTTTGGTGGACGAGCTGGGCTGGGCTAGCTGGGCTGAGTATCACGCCATGCTTTGTGAATATCCCCCCCCCAACACCCGATCTAGCCCACCTGTTTACTCGTACCTTCCAGACGCGACCCTTTCAGATACAGATACAGACAGATATCGACACAGACAGAAACATGGACATAAGCTCATTTATAATACGATCCAAGTATAGGGAGCCTTTTCCGCTGGCGAAGCGGCTTGGGAAACGATATCGCTTGCATGCATACCTATCTTACCTGCCTCCCTGCCTCCCTACCTAGCTACCTAACTTATACTCCGACAACACTGGATATAAGCCCATGGGGCTATTCTCGCTAACGTACCAAATTATAACATTACATAAGTACCGTACGTCCCCTCTTGACCAGAGATTATAGTAGACCTGCGGGTCCCCTTTCTACGCTGCTGAGTTTAATGGAGGATATAGGTGCTTTTGTATCGGCCGAGAAATATGGATGGTGGGCGAGAGAGAGAGATCTTGGAGGTAGGTAAGGTATGTCTGGCACACTCAGGTAACACCTTATCACCGATCCATGAGCTAGTAGAGATGGAGAGCGGTAGCTCTGGCGGCGATAGTTAGAATGGTATGTACGGAGTAGTCGAAATCCTATTCGTTCTACTTCTCTCTTTTGGTCGAAGCTCTGCTTGAGGCTTGCAATCGGTATTCTCGAGACTTCGCTGACATGGTGGGTTTCCTCTAGTATTGTATCCTCTGCCCTTGAATAACAGTAGTTTGGCTGCTGTATTAACGAAACCACCATGCATCCACTGAGTCCTGACCACGCCTAGGGATCTAATCAAATAGCACCACGGCACTCTGCTTGAAGACCTCCGGTCCCAGCACCGCCGCCAGCTCCGCGACAATCCCCTTCACCGATTGAGGGTTGTCCATCGGCATTCTCTCCCATCCGACAAGGTCCTATCATCATACCCTTGTTAGTATCGCTTCGACCAGGTGTACAATGCACATAGCGCGCATTCTCCAGATATACCAAGTGTGGAGAGAAGGGGGGAACGTACAATCATATGTACAAAGGACCCATGCACCAGAAGCAACCAGTGGTCCAGGTCTAGCGCCTTCACTTCCTCCAGAGTCAACACGCCAGGCATGTGCAAGTCAAAGAGTGACATGTCCTCATCGTTGATTTCCGCATCAGCGGTGTCGGGCTCAGAATGAGTCTTCTCAGCAGTAGCGGTGGTTGCTTGGCGGTCTCGTGAAAGGGAGACGTAGGGTCGAGTGTCGAGTTTCTGGGAGAGTTCGCCGTCGAGAGGGTCCCAGGCGTAGGATTCGGGGTCTATCATAATTAGTTTTGAGGGGAAAGGTGAAAGGGGGCCGAAACAGGGCCCATACCGAGGATGTACTGGGGCTTGAAGGTTCCCTTGTACCGCATTTTCTGACATGTATGGATATAGTATCCTTACCGGAATATTAGCAATAGCACGCGATCTGAATCGATGGACTTACCCATGTAGTAGTACGGGTATTGAGCCTCCACGGCAAAAGCGATCTCCCGCATCGCGCTCAACTTGCCGAACTCCCATTGTTCATAGTCTGGGTCATAACTAACTGATGTCAGCTTTGGGTGGAATCGGCCACGCAAACAGGAAGCAGTACAAGATGTATACAGAGCTCACACCATTAGGCATCAGATCTAATACAGCTACGGCGATGAGCTTGCCATCGAGACGGTAGCACTGATGCCACGATCCGAGCTTCTTCTCGTCCGACTTCTTCGGATCGGCGGGTGAGCGCGTCAGGCCTGAGCAAAGGAAGCGCTTGAAGTCCTTGGTCTGCCACTTCGAGACGTCTTCCTTGTGGACTGTAGTCTGATACTTGCGGAAGAGGTCGAATCTGCGGGTGGATAGGTCAGAATTTCGATTTAAAACCGGTAAAAGTGACGGACTTGGCCTGAGAGATGGAGTCGCCCTCCAGATTAACCTCGAATCGATGCGCAGGCTCGAGGTACTTCTTCGTCTTAGGGTCAATGGGCCGTTTCACATTGCTATATTCGGCTTCGTGGACGGCCCCCAGGAGGTCGAAGTGGGACTTGCGGGCCTTCTTTTCCCTGCAATGCGGACATTCAGCGACCCTTCATGGATCTATCCCAGCTTGGATCGACTTACTCCCGTGTCTTGGGGCAGAGATACGCGGCTCGACGGATGTATTCAGGACCGAGAACGAACTTGTTCCAGCGGTTCACGGCCTTGCGTTGATCCTTGCGAGGTTTGAAGTCCAATGCCTCCAGTCTGTAATGATGGTTAATATCGTGAAACATAGACAGGGGAAAAGAGCCGATCACCGACCTCATCGTATAGTGAGGGCAGCATGACCGCTGCAGGTTCTGCTTGTAGTACAGCGTGCCCGATCTAGGCCTGAGTTAGTCTCCATGCTGTTCGTACTTCTCATGCACCAAATGAACCACACGATACCTTCTCCAACCCCGATTGACAAGGGCCTCATAATGGGCCGGTCGCACAGAGACCGAGCTAGTGTAGTAGGAGGCCGCTGCAGTAGGTGCGCGTTAGTACTGGCATGGCATGAAGCCGTCGTCGACATGCCTGTGATGGGCATCTCTGGTGGGGCAGCGTGGGGAGACTCACAGCCATCATCAGATTTGCAGTAGCCACAAGAATTGCGTTGGTAGCCTGAAGGTCGAAGTCAGCGGCAAGAGGCAACCGGTGGGGCGGTCTACATGGCGACAATTGAAGACGATAAATGACCAAGAATGTGATTTGGTGATGTTTTCACTGGAGGCAACGGGAACAGGAGACGAAAGTTCGGCAAAGGTGGTTGGCAGTGGTGTTGTTTAGGTCGTACTTTGGGGAAGCGAAGGCCGTATAGATCGAGATGAGGGGCAGCAAAAATGCCATGCCGGCACATTGAGGGGCACCGATTGGGGGAGAGAAAAGGGAACCAACTGGGGCGGATACTGATTGCACGGGGCTGAAGACGCTATGATGACTGGTTGCTTACCTAGAGGCCGGAAAAGCGACAATTTTCTTGCCTGCTCGGCGTCAACAATCGAGACCATGGCTTTTTTTTTTTTTTTTTTTTGGTTGTTGTTGTTGCTGGTGATGGTGGTGGTGGTTGGTGTCTATGTCAAGCACCAAGCGGAGATCGCAGTCTGAGATGGAGCAACGGATTCACAAGGCATGCATGCAACTGCAGAATGAGTCGGAAAAGTGGGAAGACCCGGATAGTATCGAATCACTAGAATATCCTCTGTCGATGAGGAGGATGACAAACTAGAGTAGGTATCCTGGTGGCTGCGATGTGGTGGTCTGAGGGGCCCGAGATTGTTGTGATCTTGGAGGATGGAAATGGAGAGAAGATGATGCGGGACGGAATGGTTGAAGCTGGCCAATTCGGCAAGCCCATCATCCATCATCCATCATCCATCATCCATCATCTACTATGAGTACTTCAACTTAGTTACCTGCTACTACCAACACAACCCAACCCAACTCAACTCGTCTCATCATCCCATCACCCCATTCACGCCCGCTTGGTCCCAGCTACTGACAGTGTTAGTGTCCCGTTGGCCAACCATACCCAACTTCGTGATGCTTCTAGAAAAGAGCAACCTAGCTGGTCTGCATGAAGGGATCAGGGAACCCATGTCGGAACCTCCTGTAAGGACCGACTGATCACCCCAGCAAGCCCAAAGCAAGTACACCTACTGCAGTGAGGCTGCGATCTATTCCCTTACCCCGTACTTTTGTCCTTGTTGTGTTGGTGTGCCCTGCTTGTTGTTGCCACTGACGAAGGAGGTGCAAGTAAGCCGGGAGATGATGATGCTTGCTACAGGGTCAACACAACCCATTTCTAGCTTTTCCATTCGAGTACTCACTCCGCACAGAGATCCGCTGGGACTACGGAGTACTGTACCTCCTGAATAATGGGTTTGCACCAGCTGGTGAGGGAGGGAGGTCGAACCTGGCAGCTGGCAGCTGGCAGCTGGCGATGCATTCAGATACGGGTATTGTTAGTCGCCGTATGAGCATCTCCCTTACCATACGGTAATTTGTCGATGGAAGTGGAAGTTGGCCAAGTGCCCGGCCGGCCCTTCCCCCTTCTTCACGGTAGAGCAAGAGCGGCTTCGGAAGGGAAGCTGGAAGCAAATGGAATGGACATATGTACTGTAGGATAGTGGGTGTCGCCGCTCGAATTGATCCTGATGTGATGTCGTTCGGAAATCAAAGGTACACACACCTCAGTAAGTAATCTTCTTCCGCGCATCCCCAGATCATTGAATCACGTGCAGGCATCTTCCTGCTTCTCCCCCCAACGTCCAAGCATCATCGGCATCAACGACAGGATCTCAACTGCTCAAGGGATCCGCATCTTTCCCACAGATCGCTGCTGCGTTGTCGCCCTCCAGGTCCAATCGCCACCGTCTATAATGTCCGAAGCCACTTCTCCCATGATTGATGTGCAGGACTACCCCAAGTAGTGGCCATTTCACCGCATTCCACATTGTCCGAGCAACCGAGCGCTTGGATCGACTCCATGGTTCGAATATTCATGGTTATGGTGCAGCGGACAGGTACGGTACATCACTTGTCCCCTTCTTTAGGGCATGATCGCAACTCCTTCCTCCTCAACACAGCACCAGCACCAGCACCAACCTCTCTTTTTTTTTGTGTGAATTCTAGATAATCATTATCAACCATAGTGATAGCTCAAAACAAAAAAATTGGAAAGTACAGCTTAAACCCCCCAATTCAAACCATGCAGATGGAAGTCGTAACCGGCCGAGTCAGTGCTCTCGAATTGCCCCGCATCCTCCCCTCTAGCAACTCTTTTTCTTTGATCCTTTTGTTCGCCTTTAATTTGCTGGAACTGCGAGTGACACCTCCCAATAAGCCAGCCAGGATCGATGGAACCTAATGTACCATGCAGGGTGTGTATGCTGCTGCGTCTCATGGTATCCAATCTAAAGCTTGTATGCAGGAGCGTGAAAGCAATAGTCAAGAACAAAAGAAAAGAAAAGAAAAAGTAGACAAACAATCACAGCTTCATTGAACTTCCCCGGCCCTCCCCCATGCAGCTCTTGAAGGACACACAACAGCCTAGAAAGCTAAACTAAGCTAAGTTGCAAAAATTGCAACCACGTACCTAGTAGCAGGTACCATATCCAATTCGAGCGACGATCATTGGATCAGTCCCAGAAACCGTTGAAATGCTATTGCTGCTGCAGGGTAAGTTCGCAGCGTTAATTATGGGAGAGGGAGGTCAGGTCGCCCGTGCACGTTGATCGAAGGATACTACTTGAAGGAAATCCGAAAGGGAACTAGGAACACGTTCCTTTTTTCCGCCGATGGGAGTTCATTACGATAAATCAGTAGACATGTACTTGAAAGGGACACAGGCCCGATGTGGGAAGCAAAGTGAGTAAGGTGGACCGAAATCCGATTTTTTTTCCCTGGGAGTTTGGAGGCCCTCTGAAAGTCTGCCCTCACCGTGATCGGTGATCTGTCGTATCTCCATCCATCCTAGTCAAGTCCTCCTTATACTATTTTGGGGAGAACCCACGAGGGAACGACTGGACGATAGGCGAGACAGGTGCCGAAATGACAGGACTGGACTCACCTTGTTTAAGCCCATACAACGGAACATGACGCACAATGAGCCACCGGGAAAACTACTGACTGATGTGCGGGCATGAGATCATCTAAATTTAAACTATGGAAATCGGTCGCCCTGCGGTTCTCTTCTTATTCAGAAGTAGGTAGTCAAGTTGATTGCGGCCAAATGCCAATCAATATGGTCTGCAATTTCGAGGTCGATTTCGGACCTTCCCTGAGTGGTGCCCTTCACGGGCCCTCACGGGCAGAATCTGATACAACAATTACAGTGCAAAAAGAGTGAGGAAGGTTTCTAGTGATTCCTCCCCATTCATCAGACCACAACACACTCGGATCGAGAAGAGAGAGAAGCGGGTATCCGATCTATTAATAATGGATCAGTGTGCGACGGCGCGTGTGTTCGCGTCTGGAATTTCATGGTTCGTCTTCGCGTCCCTTGGGTTACCAGGTTGCTGTGGAACCCTGAGAAAGAGTCTCGGGGTCGCTCAGGACTAGGAATATTATCGATAATACGAAGTAGATTGTTTAAGTCAGGAAGATCACTAGTTTGGCAACTGTGGAAGCCAAGTCTTACTTTAGCGCAGCGGTGGAAATTCGAATAGTAGTAACTTAGTAGGTTCATGATACAAAAGGATGAACTAGGTCTAATTGCGGTCAGGGTTGCAAAGACCGATCCCCAACCATAATCACCCACCCTCATAATAAGGTAGGTCTTGCGCAGTGGGCTGGAAAGGAGAACCAACAATGCCCCCCCCCCCCCCCCCCATTCTTGACTTCGAACTATACTCCACAAGCTTTCATGCATAACGGCAGTATCGACTAACCCTCTCCAGAGACAAAAAAGAAACAGAGTGAAAAAGCCAGAAATCAAAGCCAATGTCAAGTCCAGTCCATATACATGAGACATGGAGAGGAAAGGGGCGTACATGACATATGGACCTGGGACCTGGCCACAGTCAAGCAAAACCCCGAACGAGGGCTCGGATATGGTGGAGGCAACATAGACTTAGGTACTGTACCTACGAACCTACGAGTTAACTACTAGTTACGAGTACTAGTAGGCTGTAAGTTAGTTAGGCTTGTCGCAATTCAATTGAACGAACCGTACCTGGGCCAGACCGACAACCGGACCAGAACCATCCGTAACGTTTCAGTAATACTAGAAATACGGTATTCACCGCACCTTTGTGCTTCGGCCGTCTGTATTGGATCGGTACCGCCCACCCAGCGCGCCAGAGTCCGCTCCGGGGCGAAGACAATCACCGGTTTTACCGGTCTTTCCACAATAACAATTAAGGTAATGAATGTCTTTCCAGTGCCTGCCCGGGGTGCGCCGCCCACAATTCTTCCCCCCCAAAGCTGGCCAACTGACAGTGCTGTCTGTCTGTCTGTCTGTCTGTCTTTGGTCTGTCTCTCTCTCTCTCTCTCTATTGCCCCCCCCCCCCCCCTCTCTGCCTCCGTTCCCTCCGTTCCCTCCGTCCACTTTCCCTCCTAAATCCGCCTTTCCTTATTTCTTCGCTGTCCCTCCGATTATGATGTGCTTTTGTCTTCACTCATCCTCTTCGACGTTCCCGTCCGTTGCGGGAGTGAACGGGGATACCTGATTTTCCTGATTCTCTCTTCTAAACTCTTTTCTTTTCTTCTTTGCCCTCGCAAGAAAAAAAAAAATCCCGCCCTTCCCTTCGACCCGCTTCGCTTTTTCCGCTTCTTCGCGTTCAGGAAAAGAAACTCGACCGAGAGGTTGTTCGCCAGCTCTCGTACACCAGGCTGGACCTCTTTTTTGTTACTTCCACTGTTCGAAGTGTCCTGCGTCACTTCCAGCACTTCCAGCACTGACAGGTCGTCCCAAGTCAGTGTCATTGGTCGTTGTCTCTCTCCCCAGTCGCATCGAGCCTCTTCCTTCTTTGACACGAGTGTCGCGTGAAGCCCAAGAACGACCTACTACAGTCGCCCACCCCCTCTCTCCACTATATAGACTTCTTGTGTGGAGTGGTCTAAAAGTCCCTCATCTTTCTTTCTATCCTATAGTCACAGTTGGTCCGTCATGACGGAACAACCTCGTTCAATGGAGTCCCGCGTGGGACGCAAAAACCAACGTGAGTAATCAACCCTGGAGGCACGTTGACCCTTTTACAATTATTTCTTGGTACTCTTTCTTCTGCCTATGAATACATCTCCCCGCGCGTTTGCCACCTATGATTTCGCGCAACCCGGCTAATGTTGTCTGTGCTTCTAGGGTACGGTCCGAAAGGCGAACGGCTCGTGGCCGGTGTCGTGCCGTTGTCCGCGGATAAGACTTTGGTCCTGATGATCCAGTCCGCAGGGCGCGGCGGTTGGGTCCTTCCTAAAGGCGGTTGGGAGACGGACGAGAACAGCCCCCAGCAAGCCGCCTGCAGAGAGGCCTGGGAAGAGGCCGGGGTAATATGTACGGTGCATAAGGACTTGGGGCAAATACCCGACATGCGCCCCTCGTCTTTATTGTCAACCACAGCACCCAAGGCGTCCTACCAGTTCTTCGAGGTGACCGTGGACCGCGAAGAGGAACAGTGGCCCGAGATGCACAAGCGAAAACGGCAATGGGTTACCTACAAGCAGGCTGCTGATGCTCTGGCCAGCAGACCCGAGCTGCTGGAAGCGCTCAATCGCAGCTCCATGCGGCGGTAGCGTTGGCTTTGTGTTTTCCGCAAAGAAGCTTCAAGCTTCCATGACGACCTGAAATGATCTAGCCAAGGAAAAGCTGTTTTCTTTTTTACTTGCATTGATTGGCTTGGACCTTCCTACCCCCGGTTGGCTGTAATGCTTTTGGGTTTTTATAATCTCTTCTTTTATTTCCCTTTTTTTTTTCTCTCTCTGAACTCGATCGGATGACAGCTGGTGGCTTCTGCGCATGACTTGCGAACATCATCTTCTGAGATGCGCGAATATGGCCTATCTTGTCCATTCGATCCGTCCTTGCTATTGTTTTCACACCCTCATAGATTTCACGAGCAAGCGCCAGTATAGATTGTTAGAGGAGTACGGCCGTGTTGCTGACGGATGGGGCAAAAAGTTACTGTCATCGAGACATGGTCTGGGATGGGATCCTTTGCTTGGAGTTGGCTTTCTCTTTTGGATACCAATATCATCTTGCTCGTGATTGAGACCTGTGCGCTCAGGGCACTTCACATCTATAAAGTTCGCCCAGCAGGGGCTCACATACAATAATAGCTGTTTGATTTTTCGTCTGAGTGTGTATCTATAGAAGTCTTTGGAAATAAACTAATGATGCAAGGTGGTGTTGCATGGAGGGTCACCACCACCTCAGAATTGATTCAGATGACCACTGAAACAGCTCATAAATGAATACTAAACATAAATTAGAGTAATGAGCAAGGTATCTCATGGCTAGATAACCAGCGTGGCTTCACGTGCTATCCCATCATCCACACATCGCGGAGGTCTCTCCAGGTAAGTTGCAGGGGAAGATTACCCGATCGGGTCAAGCGCACCTCAGCTTCCGCCTTTCAGTTCTCCCAAGTCTCTCTCGAATTGATTGCCTCATCGCGGCCATCTCCAGATCAACTTCCTCCCCACTGAACCATAACTCTTCCGGCGTGTGTGGCCATCACTCTGGGCCTCATCGCCAACAGACATACTATTATCACCATGGACTACGAAATGGACATCGAGCCCACCGGGCCCCAAGTGACCGTCCGCGAGGTGAGCAACTTCCAGTCGCCATCCATCAATATCACTATCACCTCACATCACAAAGCAACACCATCACAACCTACCCCCCTTCCCCCCCTTCTCAAAGAAGCTCGCCTACCAACCCTTTCCATCCCCAAAATGACTAATCATCACACCACAGGCCGAGCCCTACCGCGTGGACTTCAAACTCAGCTCCGTCGATCTAGCCTTCGCCAACTCGATCCGCCGCACCATGCTCGCCGAGATCCCCACGATGGCGATCGACCTGGTGGAAGTCGAGAAGAACACCTCGGTCCTCCCGGACGAGTTCCTGGCCCACCGCCTGGGACTGATCCCGCTCAACTCCAAGAACTGCGACCAGGACGTCGAGTACACGCGCGACTGCGAATGCGATGACCGCTGCTCCCGCTGCAGCGTGACGCTGACCCTGCACGCACGCTGCACGAGCGACGAGATCATGCGCGTCTACGCGCGGGATCTGGCCGTCAGCGGCGAGCGGGCCAACGAGTGGGTGGGCAACCCGGTGATCACGGACCCCGAGGGCAAGGGCCCCCTGATCTGCAAACTGCGGCGCGGCCAGGAGCTGAAGATGACGTGCATCGCGAAGAAGGGCATCGCCAAGGAGCATGCCAAGTGGGCGCCGACCGCCGCGGTGGGCTTCGAGTACGATCCGCACAATAATCTGCGGCATGTGGATTACTGGTATGAGGAGGATGCGGCGAAGGAGTGGTATGTTTTCCCTGTCCCGTCCTGCTGGGGTATTTGTCTCGAAGAAGGACGATGGATAATAGATCCTCTGCAAAAGAGATGGCAAGAAGGATGAAGATCTTGGCTAATCATTCTACTTTTGCCGTTGTCGGACAGGCCTATTTCTCAGAACTCGGCATGGGAACACGCCAACCCTCCGGATCAGCCCTTCGATTACGACGCTCAGCCGAACAATTTTTACATCGATGTCGAGAGTATCGGCATGATTGACCCGGATATGATCATTCAGCAGAGTATCATTGTGCTGCAGCGCAAGTTGGCCTCGGTCATCTCGTCGCTGTCTGGCTCGGGTGACGGTGGTGCGGACCGTAACGGCATGATGGGTGGTGAGGACGACGATATGATGCGCAGCCCGGATGCCTACGAGCCGCCGGAGGGCATCGATGGCGGGTTCACGGCCTATGCCAGTGGCGGTGCCAGTGCGTGGGGAGCCAGTGCTGCCACGCCGTACGGCGTCACGCCCTACGGCGGTGGCTATGGGTTTTAGGTGAGGTGAGATGATGTGAGATGAAAGGGCGGTCTTGCTCTGCTGTCAGTTTGGGCCACTTCCCGGGAGCAGCTGCGTCTACCCAGCAGGTTGTCTTCGGTCAGCGAGATTTCGACTCTCGGTCACTCCAACCAATTCATCGTCATCACTACCTTTTCTCCTAGACCTACAACCCGGACCTGACCACATTTGGTCCCAATCCAGCTCAAAGAACCCCAACCACCAACATCATATCCTCACCAACCTTTTCTGATACTATTTCCAGCATGCGGACGGAGTTTATCACGGGTATTTCTGCTCACCTCGGGGAATTTCTATTTCTATTTTATTGCTTATTATCTCTTTTCCCATTTCGTGCTATCAAAAGAAGTTTCTCTCATGGTCAGGGCGTGCAACGGGGGTGTTTTGTTGCTTTGCTTTCTTTTCATGTCTTGTCTCTCTGACTCTATTAAACACATATTTACATAAGAACACCACATCACATACAAATCCAAATGAACAGATCTCCAACCAACCACTAGGTCCGCTATCAGGCGTAGCTTTCTTGAGTGATCAAACTGTGCGGCTGGAGATGTGTACGAGCATAATAGATGGCTACAGGCGAAAAGCAAATACTGGAGATAGACAAGATGATATTAACACCATTCTGAGGGATATATTAAACGAACGATGAAAATAATAAACAAGCCCCAAATAATACCAAAAAGTGTTCGCAACCCCAATGCAAGTGGTATGTTATGTACAATGCGTATGTTACGCCCATCATGCGCAAAATCCCGTAGAAAGAAAAGCAATGATCCCAAGTTTGTGTCAAACGCCAAATCCCCATCCCCAACACCGTTCATGATGAGCAAATATATCCAAGCAACCTGTCCACCCCTCTCTTTCTCTCTCTCTTCACAACCAAAAAATAATGGATCCCAAAAGAAACAATCGCAGCGACGAATGCAAGCGCCCAAAAAGAAATTCACATCAACTCGACAGGCGGCCGCGCCGTCTTCGGCGGCATGCGCTTGACGGACATCCCCACCGTCTCCTCCTCGTCGACGGGACTATAGCTCATCATCTCGACATCCTCATCGCCATCCAAATCATCCACCAATGAGCCGATCTCGCTCGTATCCTCGACCATCACGGCGGGCAAGCCGGGACTGCCCCCGTGGTCTTCGGGGTGGTAGATCAGGGTACTGCTGCGGCTGCGGCGGGTAGCGGTGGTGGTGGTGGTGGTGGTGGCGGGCCAGCTCCCGGTGCGCGGCAGCTTGTCCGAGATGGCGGACACGGGAGTTTCCGGCGCTGCTGTGGAGGTTTCGCTGAAAGTCATCTCCGTGTTGAGTTTGGCCAGCGCGTGGGCGAGATCGCTGGCGTGGACTTCCTTGTTGGGGGGATCCTCGGGGCGCATGACCCAGCCGTGGGGCGGGGAGGGCGGCGGGCTGATGAAGAAGAGCTTGTCGACCTGCGGGGCGGCGAGGAGTTTGGGGCGGGCGTCGTGGCCCGTTTGCAGCGGGGTGGGCTCGCCGAAGTAAACCTTCGGGTTGAGGAGGGTCTGGGTCTTGGTCGAGTGGGTGGCGGTGTGGGCTTTCAGGGGGTTCTCGGTGGGCGAGGCCGACGAGAGCAGTTTGCGGATGTACAGGGCGTCGCTGTCGGTGTGGAAGGAGCAGAGGAGGCGGCGGAGGGAGGGCAGCGGGGAGAAGGAGTTGAGCGGGGCGAGCTGGTTCAGGGTGTTGCGCAGGGCGGTTAGGGACGGGGGGTCGAAGAGGTGCAGGTCGTTCAGGTCGGTAATGATCAGGGTGTTGGTCGGGGTTGTTGGTTGGCTTAGGGCGGGGAGGTTGCTGAGGTCGAGGGAGAGCGTTGGTCGGGTGGTTGGTTTTGTTGTTGTCGTTGATGATGGTGATGGGGAGGAGGTTAGGGATTGGGGTGGGGTGGTGTAGTTCATTTTGGAATGTGTTTTTGTGGGTTTTGTGGTTGTGGTTGTGGTTGTGATTGTGGTTGAATGGGTTAATTGAAAGGAGGAGAGGTGGTTGATATAGGAACGAGACCCCGGAGACGGGTTGATTGCCACTCGGAGAGATAAGAAGAGCAGCAGGCGCTTAGTGGAAATGGAAACGAGCAAAGAAAAGAGTACAGCAACTCGTAAGCAACCTTGTTCCCTCGTTCAACTCTGATTGGAGAAAAATGAAGAGTCTGTCTGCATGCGTGCTGAACGCTTCTTTTATAGCGAGTACCCAGTAATTGTTCCAATTGTTGGGGTTTCCTCGTCCGCCTCCGTCGCTTTGCCGGGCGAGGCGCAGCAACACACGCAAAGAACGGAGAGTGGAGATGCCCGCAACTCCCCTCGCAACTTGCACTGCCTGCTTGGATTGCGACTCTCCTATTCTAACTCTAGTCTAGTCAGTCTAACTTACACGACATGTGCACAACTACAGTAACTCTTCTCGGACGGCCCTTCTGGATCTGGATCTGTTCCTGGCGATCGGCTCCGCATGCATTTTCAATCCTCGCCACGGTCTCGCCGAACCCGTGTGGCTGAAGAGGAGACGAGACTGGCACCGCTTCTGGTTGCCACCTTTGATTCCTCCCATCAGAGCATCATTTGCTGTGATGACGATGTTGCATATGTGTTCTCCTTGCTGCAGATCATCCTGGAGGTGAATCCTGGACTGAATCCTGCAATCAATCCCGGAGATCGGGCAGAGAACGTATCACTGGATAACGATACGATCATGTACGATAAGTCGGGGCAGTCTAATTGACTGTCACATGCTGTCAATATGAGCTCTACTTTCTGCTTTACAGATATCACAATGCAATCTGAATGGGGACAGACAGCGTTCCACGGGATGGTCGCCTTCTCCACATACTCCAGAACCAGCAAGCAGCCTGCCATCCGCAGCGGCTGATGCTCCGCCCCCTAGGACCACTCCACAAGCAGTCGATATTATCACTGCAGTGTCCAAGTCCTCCAGGCAGGCAAGATTTCGAGCTTGGCTCCGTGGTGACAAAGAGTGTCTCCCGCTCTTGGGATTGTTCATGCATGCATGCATGCTGCCGCATTCCAAGCCTCACCAGTCACGCCTAATGTCACCATTAACTAGCAGAGCCTCTACATTTTAGGCCGTACTGAACTACAGTCTAACCAACCTTATCTACACTTTGTGACACTGGAGATCATGACCAACATGGGGGCTGATGACAGTGCCTCGCAAACTATGCGTCTACCTGCGTCGCCTGCACAAGGCTTATACCATCGGGTGCACTTACTTCTACAACTGACATCAGTCGCTCGAGTGACCTCATCATTTGTCCTAGCACATACGTACAATCTTGTTCTGCCTACAGTAGCCGTGTTGGACTGATATCCAGTACATACACCCTCATGGCTTAGCCGGAAGCTCTGACCATCTTGTATTGCATCTGGCCCTCAGCCACTCCGCTCTTCCGAATGACGCACTCTCTGAACAGCCAACCCAAACACCATTCTAGTCAGTTCCACATCGCTCAATTGATCATACCCACAACACACGCCATAGTCGCCATCTATTCTGATCGGTCTGGTCAAGCGACTCGGTTCTCAGTGACATAAAACATGCCACCAAAGCCCCTGTATGCCGAATTATAGGCTGGTAATGAACTTGAATCGATTTTCGACGGCCCTCTGAGAGGGTTCACAGTCTGGGGCATAGATCTCGAAAATATGAGGCAGGCCCGGGTACACATGCAATTCCAAATCGATATTGGCAGCTGCGATCTTCGCCGCGAAGGCGATAGCTTCGTCACGAAAGATGTCCAGCGCGCCTACGTCGATGTACGTTGGCGGCAAGCCTTCCAGGTTGGTGGCTCGGGCAGGCGCAGCGTATGGCGAGACATTGTCCGTCCCGATATCTTGTCCCAACAGGGCAGTCCAGCCAGTGAGATTGTCATCGTAAGTCCACGTGGTGAAAGGCTCCAGTGCAGGATTCGGGACAGTATTCTTGTCATCTAACATGGGGTAAAAGAGAGCCTGCTTCGCTAGAGGCGGGGATAAGCCCCGATCCCGAGCCAGCATGGCAATGCCCGCAACAAGGCCTCCCCCGGCGCTCTCCCCCATGAGACAAATGCGGTTGTTGTCTACCCTGAATTGGGCTCCCTGCCGATGGAGCCACGCTAGCCCAGCATAGCAGTCCTCAAGTGGTGTTGGATGCGGACACTCGGGTGCCAGCCGATAATCTACCGAGAAGATCGGAATGTTGCTCTTCTCGACTTGCAGGGCGAGCGCCTTGTCGAAGAGATCAACCGTGCCCTGAATCATACCCCCTCCATGCACGTGGAAGATTGCGGGGCCACGTCCAGAAGAAGCAGGAGACGAATTGTTCTTCTTATAGTAGCGTTTGACGGAAATGGTCCATCCGTCATGGGACCGGACTTGATGAACCGTCCGTTCTACACCCCGAGCATAGGGCAATACCGCGAACACGGAATCATACAGGGCGGTGATACCTATCCGGCGAGCGTGGATATCATGCAATTCGTGCTTTGGGCTGGCGGCCAATATCTGCAGGAGAGGGTCGGCAGCCTCGGCAAATGCGGGGTCCAGTTCTAAGGGCATTGTGGAGGAACGCTTGAGATGGGAACGACAATTGCAGTCACGGAGAAATGAAAGACGAACCTTTTGACAGCTACTTGGGTGGGTTCGACCCGGAACTATATACCGGGGGACTGTACCACCGGGTCAGGAATAACTTGCTGCTGGCGGGGAGGAGGGGGCAAACAACAAGCAGCACCCAGCTCTTTTGAGGAATCGAAGTTTCACGCCGCCCACTTGTCTCTGCATCTAAACCATTCGAACTAAATTGACTCAGGCAATCCTCGGTCAACTGATAGCTTGCTTGCCGCTAAAACAAGGTAGTGATTGTCATATCCATCATCGTGGCCACGGGCAACACTCGGCAGGCAATCAATAGAAGCAGAGTGCCTCGACGAATTCAATTATGCTTCAAGCCAAAACCTTACGTCACTGGAGGTCTCTTTTTCCGAGTCACGACGATTGGACGCATCGGAAAAGTATGACAATATAATTATGTACTGCACCGGCGAAAGTAATCGAATGGCCTCCAGCTAGGTAGGAGATTCACTACCTACTAGGTAGTAGTAGCAAGTAGTCAGCGTCACGGGTAGTGATGAATACCTCCGCGCCCTCCGCGCCCTCCTCGCCCTCCTATAGATCGATCACCAAATAACCGATGGGAGCCGATTGTCGGCCCGCATGTTGATCCGGATATCGCTGCTCAAGACAGTCAGGTGACGCCGGCACGGGCGAAACTTCTGCTTTTTCGATCACTATCGCCGATCTCGTTCATACTTAACCACCTCCATTTTGCTTGAGCTCCAGCTTCCATTCTTTCCATCCACCGAAGCATTCATTTGTCATATCCCTTTGCTCAACATGTTCCAAAGAACCTTCCTCAGACAGGCCCAGCGGTCCCTGCTTTCCGTCCGCTCGACACCAGCTACCTCAGCTGTCCGCCGCACCGCGCAACAGCCCCAGCTTCCTCAGTTCGCTCGTCCCTTGATCCCCCAGTCTGCCGCCCGCCTCTATTCGACGGAGAACAAGGCCGAGAACGGCGAGCAGAACGGTGCCGCGGAGTCGCAGGAGGGCGAGGATGCTTGCCGCAAAGAGCTTGAGGAGAAGAAGAAGGAGATTGTTGGTCTGAAGGTAATTGCCACCTATGCTGCCGGGCGGATATCATGAGTTACAATGGATATCTCGTTACACCGAAGAGCTTTGACATGCCGAGAACACCTGGTCTAATACCTCACAGGACCAATACCTTCGTTCCAAGGCCGACTTCATCAACCTCCAGGAGCGCACCAAGCGGGACATGGACAACTCTCGCAACTTCGCCATCCAGCGCTTCGCTCAGGACCTTCTCGAGAGTATCGATAACTTCGACCGTGCTATGCTGGCTGTCCCCAAGGAGAAGCTTGAGGCCGCCCCCACCGAGGCCAACAAGGACCTGTTGGACCTTGTTTCAGGCTTGAAGATGACTCAGAACGTCTTGATGGGCACCTTGAAGAAGCACGGTCTCGAGCAGTTCGACCCCAGCGCTCCCGCTGAGGACGGGGCGGCCCAGAAGTTCGACCCCAACGTCCACGAGGCCGTCTTCATGACCAAGGCCGAGGGCAGAGAGGACGGCGAGATCATGTTTGTTCAGAGCAAGGGTTTCCGTCTGAATGGCCGTGTCCTTAGAGTATGTGATCTCCAGCAAGGATTTATCTCAAACAGGGATGCTAATGTATTTTCTTCTACAGGCTGCTAAGGTCGGTGTTGTCAAGAACAACTAAACCTACCCATGATCCTCCGAATACCATCGCAATTTCCAACCACTCCTCCCCCATTCAATCTGTACAATATACCACATCTCTTTCCGCCGCGATGGGATGTTTCACCCTAAATCTTACGCGATGGTTTATCCAACCGAGCATGCCGCCGGGAAAAACATGATCCGGCGATTGTCGCTTTTTTTCTGTCTACGAACGCATGTGTATGATACACCGTTTACTTTGCGACTGGTGTCGCATGAGCTTTCTCCCGGTGCATTTGTCAATGATCTGATTTCTTTTGGATTGGCGTTCTTTCTTGACTCTCTCCTCCCTATTATGTATATTACACGCAATGGTCGGTGTCTTTGTTTCTTCTTTTCTCTGGAAAAGTGATATTATCACGCTGGGACTGACATTGAAACGGGTGTGGGTTATGCCTGCAGGGCATCTGATCATGTTATGACTTTTTGCATCGCCCTCTTGCCGTCAAGGCAATGCAGGGTACTTATGAAGTCTAATAGACAGTCTTTTGGCCGAATAGACCAAAGACGTTATGACAGGCATGTTGATTCTTCGGAAATGCGTAGCTGATAATATCATTGTAGAAGACCTGGCACGGCTGGGTTGTATTGCAGAAACGACGCTTCGTATTTCATGCTCAGACTGCTTTTCATCCCATGGTTTGCAATAAATCGAATTGAGCTATGATGATGATCAGTCAATTGAGTTTCACTGAACCCGTAAAACAACCGGATGATTTTGGGGGAATCCGCTCGGGCCGTGGTTCTCCCGCCCCGGCATGTTTTGTACACTACGATCTAAAACGCAGCGAGAGAAACACTAAACCGGCGACAACGACGCACTGGCTCAGTTTCCGGTGCAGCCCCGTTGCATCTACTATAGAGATGCGTTTACTCGCCACTGGCCGGGCTCTGCGCGCCAGCAGCAGCAGGTGGGCCATCAATCATTCTTCTGGGAGGAACCTACGGATCCCGCTCTCGCACCTCCCGGCGCCGTCAGCCATCCCGCGCCGCGAATGGAGCTTCACAGCCGTTCGCCGGACGAACGAGAAACCCACCGATGTCACTAAGGGCTCCATCGCCGGTGGCTCTGCAGCGCAGCCCGTGGCAGCCGAGGCGCAATCGTACGAGCGCGACGAATGGACCAACGTCACCGATACCATCCTCTCGCACGTCGGCCGCCGGCTATACCTGGACGAGAACCACCCGCTGGCCATCACGCGGCAGCTGATCGAGAGCCAGTTCCCGCGGCCGACGTACGGCAACTACACCGAGGAGAACCCCGTCGTGACGACGGCCGAGAATTTCGATGTGCTGGGGTTCCCCGCGGACCACCCGGGCCGCAGCCGCACCGACACCTACTACCTCAGCGAGAAGCTGGTGCTCCGCACGCACACGAGCGCCCACCAGCAGGCGTACTTCCAGCAGATCAGCCGCAACGAGCACACCCGCCCGGAGGAGGTGGGCTACACCGTGGTCGCGGACGTGTACCGGAGGGATGCCATCGACCGCAGCCACTACCCGGTCTTCCACCAGATGGAGGGGGCGATGCTGTGGAAGCGGCCCGAGCAGGAGCCGCTGCGGCATGCCGGCGCGACGGCGGCGCGGATCCGCGCGGACGTCGAGCGCATCCCGGCCCACGACGTCGTCGTCGAGGACCCCAACCCCACCGTGCACCCGCAGCGCAACCCGCTGCAGGCCGAGTTCCACAGTGTCGAGGAGGTCGAGCAGGTCGCCGCGCACCTCAAGCGGTCGCTGGAGCGCATGGTCATCAAGATCTTCACGGAGGCGAGCAAGGCAGCGGCGGGCGCGGAGGAGGAAACCGAGCCCCTGAAGGTCCGCTGGGTCGAGGCCTACTTCCCCTTCACGAGCCCCTCCTGGGAGCTGGAGGTGTTCTGGCAGGGGGACTGGCTGGAGGTGCTGGGCTGCGGGGTCATCAAGCAGGAGCTGCTAAACAATTCGGACGTGCCGGACCGCATGGGATGGGCGTTCGGGATCGGCCTGGAGCGCATCGCCATGCTCCTGTTCAATATCCCTGACATCCGGCTCTTCTGGTCGCGGGACAAGCGCTTCTTGTCGCAGTTCAAGGCCGGCCAGATCACCCGCTTCAAGCCCTTCTCCAAGTACCCCGCCTGCTACAAGGATGTGGCCTTTTGGTTGCCCCCCGGGGCGGCCAGTGGCGGCAGTGCGGCGGGCGGCGCCGTGCCCGTGCACGAGAATGATATCATGGAGTTGGTTCGTGGGGTTGCGGGCGATCTGGTGGAGGATGTGCGTCTGGTGGACGAGTTCACGCACCCCAAGACCAAGCGCAAGAGCATGTGCTACCGCATCAACTACCGGAGTCTGGAGCGCACGCTCACCAACGCAGAGACCAATGATCTACACGATAAATTGCGCCAAGAGCTCGTTGGTCAGCTGGGGGTTGAGCTGCGGTAGTCGTCGTTCGATTTACCAGGATAGGGGGTGTTTTCTCCGTAATGTGTATAGGTTGGATGCCTGATGACGGCAAGGCAACAGATGCGTGTCTGTATGATAGTGTGTAAGATCTTGGCTTGTAAAACAACAAAAGATATGACCTCTTTCCTCATGAATAGACTTCTAGTTCCCGGCTAAGGATCCCATGATAGCACCCAACTACATTTGTTTGGTGTTTTTGCTGCTGCTTAGTGGTTGGATCGGGCAGGGGAGGCATGCATTGTGACGTAGCAGATCGATTGCAGCACAGTACGGCGCAGTACAGCACAGCCGGGTAGAGACATGGAAGGGGATGGCTGCATTCGTGAGGGAATTGGTTGCTGGCTCGGTTTGCCTTTTTGTTTCTTACAACATGCAACATGAACAGTCTGGGCAATGTGTTCAGCCTCCGTCTTTCTCGGTGATATCCTGTCATTCCAGCCCGTCATCTCCTCTTCTGCTCCATAGTCCTCTGTACTCTCAGTGTATTGTTGTATTGCTGTGGGCGAGAGAACACCGAGGGCCGGCCTTACCGCCTAGTGGCCCGCTGGACCGACGTCTAAACCGAGAACATGATTGGTGTGCCACGGCCGAGATCGGTTAGTGCAGCCGAACAACCCTGGAATTCGGAGAGTTGATCTGAAGCCCGAATCTCTTCTCGTATTGTCTCTGTACCGGATTACTCCTGGTATTATTATTAAGAAGAGGAAGAAGCAGCAGCAGCAGAACCTCTCTCCAGTTTCTCCAGTTTCTCCAGTTTCTCCTTCCTCCTTCCTTTGACTAACTACTCTCCCAAAATCTCCCCTCTCTTTTTCTTTTTCTTTTCTTTCATATCGCCCTCGCGGAATGTCCACGATGGTCAGCAGTGCGAAGCTGGAGGCTTCCCCCCAACAGCCTCCTCAAGCGGCTGCCGCTCCGGTGCCTGCAAAGAAGATCCATTATCCTTTTTGGTTTGGTGGTTCGGCCTCTTGCTTTGCGGCGGCCGTCACACACCCTTTGGACCTTGGTAAGTTTTTTTCTTTTGGCGCTCTGGTGGCGGTGTTGAATTCTATGGATGATGACGCTGGGTGACTGACTTTTTTTTGGTGGTGACTTATAGTCAAGGTAAAATTTGCCCTCCATTATTTTTTTTTCACTTTTGCCTGGCTTATGTGTTTCGTTTGCTGTTTCCGGCTGTGTTATCGCCAACACTCAATTGAGGTATTCCCGGTGTACTAACAAAAAATTTCGGAAACTTTGTTAGGTTCGATTGCAAACTCGCGGGCCTGGGGCGCCCACGTCCATGGTGGGAACGTTTGGACATGTGATTAAGACCGATGGTGTTCGGGGCTTGTATAGCGGGGTACGTTTTTCTTTTCCTCTGGCCATGGCTTCTGGTAGCCTGGAAAAAGGGTTGTCGGGGACAAATTGGCTGATTTCCGGGGGGGCGTTATAGTTATCGGCCGCGCTTCTGCGCCAGGTGACCTACTCGACGACGCGGTTCGGCATCTACGAGGAACTCAAGAACTATTTCACGACGCCCGGGTCGACGCCCAGTTTCTTCACGCTGATCGGGATCGCGTGCGCCTCGGGCTTCATCGGCGGCTGGACCGGCAACCCGGCGGACGTGCTGAACGTGCGCATGCAGTCGGACGCGGCGCTGCCGCCGGCGCAACGCCGCAACTACCGCCACGCCTTCCACGGGCTGGTGGAGATGACGCGCACCGAGGGCGCCGCCAGCCTGTTCCGCGGGGTGTGGCCGAACTCGACGCGCGCGGTGCTGATGACCGCCTCGCAGCTGGCCTCGTACGACACCTTCAAGAAGCTGTGCATCGAGCGCATCGGCATGTCGGACAACCTGGGCACGCACTTCGCCGCCTCGTTCATGGCCGGCTTCGTCGCCACCACCGTCTGCAGCCCCGTCGACGTGATCAAGACCCGCGTCATGACCGCCAGCCACGGCCACGGCCAGAGCATCCCCGCCCTGCTGCGCGAGATCACCCGCAAGGAGGGCTACGCCTGGGCCTTCCGCGGCTGGGTGCCCAGCTTCATCCGGCTGGGTCCGCACACGATCGCCACCTTCATCTTCCTGGAGGAGCACAAGAAGCTCTACCGGTGGGTGAAGGGGATCGAATCCGAGGAGAAGCGGTGATTTCCACTTCCTCTTTTTTCTTGTTGGTTGTCGTCTTCTCTTTTTCCCTGTTATGTCTGGGAACCTGTCCATACACCGCTTTGATATCCACGATACATTCTCTGCTAGGATATCTTTCTAGCATAGTATCCTTCTTCATCTTGTTCAATGTTGGGGTTTTGGCGAAGCATTGTGATTTTTTTGGGTGGCTAAAAGTTTTTTATTCTTGTGCTCATCTCTCCTGCGGGCATATCGCTTGTACATAATATCGTTTTCTCTCTCTCTTTCTTTGGTGCTGGACTTGTGCTTGCAGATGGCCGAGTGGAGGGAGACAACACCTTCCTCGGTGGGGTGGCTGTGAGTAACTCTCCCTTCACATCTATCGCTTCCTCACTTCCACCCCCCGATCAGATGGAGATGAGGCCAGAAGCATGCGGGAGGGAGGGGGGGTCTGTATACTGCTTGGTTGGATTGTGTGAGTGAGTGAGTGAGTGAGTGAGAGTGTGGCATTCGTCATTTGAGAATAGATAGACTAGACATGAAATCTACAATAGACACATATAGACTCAGATTGCAAGTTGTGGATTGCAGTTAATTCTGGGGGTGTAGAACTTAACAGGTCTGCATTCATGGAGATAGCTTTGTATTCAGCCTCGACTCTTGCTGGAATAACATGAGGCATTGTAGCTTACTAGCCCGGAAAGCTAACTCCAGTAGGTGCTCGGGGTCAATCCTGTTGCAGGATGTCGTTTCACTAGGGAGGAAATCTCTGGGTGAGAACATACTGAAGAGCATGTGACAAAGCACTCTATTGGAGTATAAGATGTAATGTACAGTATGCGAAGCGATTGACTCGCGAGGCTGGAGGGGAGATCGAATCGTATGATGTCCGCCGGATCTGATATCGGCCACGGGCGACTGGGTACCGAGTCCCGTGGGTGAGATCGTCATTTTGATCATGCTACTTCTATCGGCAGATATGAGAGGCACATGTGCTGATTGATTAGATCCATATACAGGTGCGGAACTCGTTCACATCTTCTCGGGTTTGCACACTACGCGTCCTTTCTATGTCCATACAGCTTTCCCCTCTGATTTATCCTAGAGAAGATGCGAGGAAAGTGAAAGGCTCTGGATCAACGAGAAGGCAAGGAAGAAAAAGAAAAAAAACATTTCCCGCTTGGTTTGTTCAATTCGGGAGGGGTTGGGCTCCGAATCAGGGTAGTAGAGTACATTTGTTTGACCAAAATAAAACAAAAGCACATAAAGAACTTTAACATGGATTTGTTTAGCTTTCTAGCATTCTACTCCAGGCGAGCGGGGAAGTTTCCAGCCTCTGGTCGGGGAAGTTAGTTACTTGCTGTTGGAGATTAAAGGTGCAGAGATGGGGGATGAGTACGTACCGCGCTGGGTATCCCACCGGTCAGTCCAGGCCTTGGGGCAGAGGGAGCGGAAAGCGTGGTAGAACTGGTAGTCAAGATGATTAGTGCTGTTGTTGTGATAGGTTCGCTGTGATGGGGGTGTTGGTGGTGCTGGTAGACAGTTGCGGGTTTGGTAGCCGAGGGGGATGTCGACGGGGTTGATATACCTGGCGGCATGGGCGGAAGTCCTCGCCCTTGGCGTTGACACACTTGTAGTAGTCGACGTAGTTCTGCCAGCAGTGCTTGGTCCTATCCAATTGCATTAGGATGAAGCTTGACGAAAGGTGGAGGTGAGTCTAAGGATATTGGCTGATCACGTACTGGTTCTGCTGGGGGAAGCGGGCGTCATAGCCTGTATATCGTTACATCAAGACGTTGGTCAGTCAGCTTTCCCACCACGATTGATGAAGAACCCGCCGTATTCGTTCATCGATAAGCGACCGGATCAACGAAGAACCTGGAGAGAAACGTACCGGCTGTATACTAGTTAGCAATTGACCTCAATTGGGGATGCGGGAGACAAGTCGGATTATCCGGGTTTGGGAAAGCTCACCTGTCACGAACTTGAAGGGCTTGGTCTCCTGGGGCTCATCGGGATCGGCTTCAGGAATGGCACCCATTGTGGCAGTTCTAAGGACAGAGCCTGGAAATGGATCTAAAATTGGGGAAGAGGAAAAGGGGTGGGTGGTGGAGAGGGGGGAGGGGGAAGAGGAGGGAAGCAAGAGAGAGAGAGAGGGCTTGGAGAAAGAAAGATGGGGGTGAGGTTTGCGCGCTGGTGGAGTGGAATGATCCCGTGAAGCAGTACAGCCGGGCCCCAAGTTCAACCTTGACCGCCTACTGTAGCGAGCCACTCATGCGCCTACCTTTCCTAAACACCCCGATCCGTCATCTTGAGGTGGTTCAGGTTCCAACAAGTTTCTGCCTGAGTCATCCAGGCTCGCACTTGGAAACCTGAACTCGTGATCCAATTCCACACCACAGCCAAGCCACAAGGCCCGAATGAGCTCAACTTCCGTCACCACATCCGAAGCCTCCCATCCCATCTCCTCTCCCCATCCCCCCATCCAACCCACCTCCAGCCAGGTCTTTCACCCCCCACAAACAATCGCCATGTATCCCACCACTATCATGCGCATGCAGGCCACCCGGCCTTTCGCTTTTCCTGCTCCTGTTAGTTTCTTCTCTCCCTTCCTTTCCCCCCTCTCGTGAATGTGAGCCGGGAAAAATTGGGCTTGGCAGTTGCATGATGGCTAACGAACGTTGCAGAAGGAAAACCACAGCGGTATGAAGCTTTCCCTCAATGCGCCCTTGCCGACTAGAAGCTTGCAACAGTGTATTTCTGGAAGTCGCAATTGGACTAACACAGAGCTCTAGCCCACACCATCTCCCAGCGTCTGCGCACCCTCAAGCGCATCCCCCCGGAGTTGATCCCTCTTGGTATGTATTTCCCGTGCGCCAGAATGATCCGACGGTGTCTACAGATAGGCTAATCATCATGTCTGTCACTTTACAGGTGTTGTCTTGGGGTATGTGCTTAGTTCCTGGTTCAATTGACTTGTTACATCACACGGGTCGAACATGATCTATTTCCTTCTTCTGACCCCTCCTCACCAACTCCCTTGCTCCCCTCACAGAACATGCCATCGCTAACGCTTCTCCTCGCAGCGTCGCTGTCGGTGCTGCCATCTACTCCAGCTCCAAGAAGCTCATGACCGACAAGACCCTCCGTCTGTACCGCAACAGCCCCGAGTCCCGTGAGCACTAGAGAATGTACCATCACACTTTGATTCCAAATTGCAATGGGCGATTCCTTGTTTTGTTTTGAGGGCGATCTGTACTATCCACGGGAGGTAGAGGGAGATTGCATGGTGTCGCGGCGGATGCCGACGAAAAAAAAGCTCGGCATATCTCAAGCTCAGGGTTGCAGCGCGTGTATATAGTACGGCTTTAAATCGAAGGGTTCTGATGCAGTGCTCGTGCAGTGTTACGGCTGGCCTTTTTTTTCTGTAGTGTCCCTGCCAATGCACTCCGCGTGGCGTGTAGAAGATGTCCCGGGCATTTCATTCAGGCTTTGGGCCGGCAACGTCCATCTCTACCAGTCCTTGCATCGGGTCTTCAGTCTCTGCTTTAGCGCCTGCTTGAGCCTGCTCTGTGGCCAATCTATCTTCCTCGCTGACTGCGTATTTGGCCAAGTATCCCTCCTATAGTGGAACGCGATTAGCTCGTAGATTCGTGGAATGAGATACCCATTTGGCCGCGTACCTGTTCCCAGATAGCTGTCTTGCTGCCCAGCCCCTCATTGCTTTCCCTTTGCGGTTTCGCGGCGGCGACCTTGATTGTACGTCCGTAAAGCTCGCTGCCATCCATGTTGTCGATAGCCTCTTTCGCATCCTCGGGCAGGTCGAACTCCACATATCCAAAGCCGCGGTGGGATTCGTTCGAGTTGGGCAGGTCGGGTTTCGGCAGGGTGATGTCCACGACCTCGCCAAAGGGGACAAATGCCTCCGCCAGCGTGTGCATCGTCACAGCCTGGTCCAGACCCCCCACATAGATGGTACACTTCAAACGAGCCTTTTCACTCATGGTTGAGGCTTTGCGGGGCGGTAAGGATGGTAATTTTGAATGTGAATAGCCGTGCTCGCTGGATAGACCACAGATTGCTTGAAACGGGAGCTCTAGGGGGCACGGGCCCAGCTGATAGAATGATATTCAAGCTTGGTTGTCCAGCTTCCTTGCCCGGTCGATCTTCGGAGTGGGCGCAGACTTTCGCGGAGAGGCAGAGACAGAGCGAGAGGCTGATATCAATCACGTGGTATGCCGGGCAGTGTCCAAAGTGGTTAAGCGGGTCGGTCGGTCGGTCGGTCGCAGCGGCCCCCCCGAGGAGGACACTTGGTTGATTGCCGTCACGCCTCGAATCGCCAGTCGACTTGGCAACTCTCACCTGCAACCTGCACCCCTCGGTTTCTCCTGTCTTCTTGTGTCTTGTGTCAGAGAGGGGAGGTTTTCTTCCATTTCAGTTTTTTCTTTCTCTTACTCCTACCTATACGACTTTGGGTACTCGGATTCTCACTACCCCCACCATTTCTCTTTCAGTTCTTCCCCCCCCCGCATCCAATTCATTCATTTGCTGGCCAGAACAACAATCCCACCCCCCGCAATAGCCAGCTCCGTCGCCTTCTAATCTATAATTCCATCTTTCCCTGCCACTCCTTTCCACCTTCACCATGGTTCGTCTGAGGGAAATTCCCCGGACGGCCACCTTTGCCTGGTCTCCTGGAGCTGCTTCGCCATTGATTGCTACGGGTACTCGCGCCGGCGCCGTGGATGTCGACTTCTCCAATCAAACGTGTCTGGAGCTCTGGGATCTCAACCTGAGCCGCCACGAGGCCAGCGGCGAGCTGCAGCCGGTAGCGAAGATTGACACTGACTCGGGGTGCGCTTTGTAGCTTTCCAATGCTCTGGGAATATAGGCAAACACTAACTCTACTACTCGAATAGCTTCAACGACCTGGCATGGACGGATTCCGAGGACAGCTCCCGGGGTGTGATCGCGGGTGCCTTGGAGAATGGATCTTTGGATCTGTGGGATGCCGATAAGTTGCTCAGTGGATCCAGGTTCGTGCTGTCATCCCTACAATCGCGTTGTCGTCGTTTGGTTAAATTGGCTGACGCCAGGGCAGTGATGCCGTCATCTCGAGGACCAACAAACACTCAGGGGCTATCAAGGCTCTCCAGTTCAACCCCAAACACTCCAACTTGCTGGCCACCGGTGGTGCCAAGGGCGAGGTACAATGCCCCCTGATACATGTCTGAACAATGAATGTTGGAGCTCATGATTACCACTAGCTGTACATTTCCGACCTGAACGACATTGCGAACCCCTCTAGACTCGGAGGCACGGCCGCCCGCGCAGATGACATCGAGTGCTTGGATTGGAACAAAAAGGTCGCGCATATCCTGGTCACCGGCAGCAGTGCCGGCTTCGTCACCGTGTGGGATGTCAAGACCAAGAAGGAGAGCTTGACGCTGAACAACATGGGCCGGAAAGCCGTCAGTGCTGTGGCCTGGGACCCGGAGAAGGTGAGTTTCTTACCGCGGCTGCCTGCGGGCTTGCTTTGCTGACCACTACCAGCCTACGAAACTTGTCACGGCCACGCCGCTCGAGTCGGACCCCTTGATCTGTGTCTGGGATCTGCGTAACTCTCACGCCCCGGAAAGAACCCTCCGGGGCCACGAATCCGGCGTCTTGTCGCTCTCCTGGTGCGCCCAGGATCCCGATCTGCTCCTCTCGTCCGGCAAAGATAACCGCACCCTTTGCTGGAACCCCCAGACCGGTCACGCCTACGGAGAGTTCCCCGTCGTCACAAACTGGACTTTCCAGACGCGCTGGAACCCTCACAACCCCAACTTCTTCGCCACCGCTTCGTTTGACGGAAAGATCGCCATCCAGACCATCCAGAACACCAGCACCGAAACGGCCCAGGCGATTGCGGACCAGAACCAGGCCCTTGATGGCGAGGACTTCTTCGCCAAGGCCCAGACTCAGCCCCAGGTCTCCAGCTTCTCGCTGCCCAAGGCCCCCAAGTGGCTGGAACGGCCGTGTGGCGCGACCTTTGGATTTGGAGGCAGAGTCGTCTCTGTCAACCTGGTTGAGAAGGGTCAGCGTGCATCAAAAATCAAGATCACCCCGTTCGAGGTTGATGAGGCGGTTGGAAAGTCAACCGAGACGTTTGAGAACGCGCTCAAGGAGGGTGATCTGCGCAACATCTGCGAAACTCGGGCTGCCAACGCCACCAGTGAAGAGGAGAAGGCCGACTGGAAGGTTATCGAGGCCTTGATCTCGGCCGATCCTCGCAAGGGACTGGTTGAGTATCTCGGATTCGCGGATCAGGCTGACGAGGCTGCTGATGGCTTAGCCAAGCTGGGTCTGAACAAGGAGGACGACGAGGAAGTCAACGGCGAGGAGCCCAAGGAATCCCGCGGGTCGGGAGCCAAGAAGCACCGCCGTCTGCAATCCGTCTTCGACACAAGCGCGGACGCGGATAACTTCCTGTCTGACCTGGCTGCTTCCAAGGGCGCCAAGACCAACAACCCCTTCCACATCTTCAACGGAGAGGAGACCGAAGCGGACACTGGCATTACCAGAGCGTTGCTCCTCGGTGACTTCGAGAAGGCCCTTGATGTCGCACTCAAGGAGGATCGTCTCTCGGACGCGTTCATGATTGCCATCTGCGGAGGTCAGAAATGCATTGAGAAGGCCCAGGAGCACTACTTCTCCAAGCAGACCAACAGCCCGAACTACGTGCGTTTGCTCGCATCTATTGTGGGCAAGAATCTCTGGGATGTTGTCTACAACGCCGACTTGTCCAACTGGAAGGAGGTTATGGCAGCTCTTTGCACTTTTGCCGACGAGAAGGAGTTCGCGGATCTCTGCGATGCTCTGGGTGATCGCTTGGAGGAGGAGCTCCGTAACTCGGATGACAAGGCCCTTCGTAAGGATGCCTCGTTCTGTTTCTTGGCCGGTTCCAAGTTGGAGAAGGTTGTTGCTATCTGGATTGAGGAGCTGCGGGAGCGTGAGCAGAAGGCCATCGAGGCCTCTGCCGACGATTCTGCTTTCTCGATCCACGTCCGTGCTCTGCAGAGCCTGATTGAGAAGGTGACGATTTTCCGCCAGGTCACCAAGTTCGAGGACACCGAGCGTACCAAGGAGTCGGATTGGAAGCTCAGCACGCTGTACGACAAGTATATCGAGTACGCCGACGTTGTTGCTACCCATGGACGACTACAGGTTGCACAGAAGTATCTCGATCTTGTGCCCGAGAAGCACCCTGAGGCCGAGATTGCCAGAAACCGTATCCGCCTGGCAACGAGACAAGCCGCTCCTCAACGGACGCAGACTGCGACCAGCGCAGCAGCCAGGCCCAATCTCAACAAGCCTCTTCCTCAGCCTGCTTTGGGTGGATACCAGCCCACAAGAACCTTCTCGCCTGCGGCGCCTGCTGCAGTTCCCAGCCCTTATGCTCCTGCTGCTCCCGCCGCTGCTCCCTCGAATCCGTACGCCCCCCCGACTGCTGCGGCCG